AGTTTATGGCGACCTGAAAAAGCCTGACTCGAGTTCCGGTCTGGCAGAGCGCGGGGAGAGACGCAGGGCGCCGCGAGCTCCCCCTGGGCCCTCCAGGCCCTCGGCCCCGGGCCGGCGGGTGAGCTGGAGTCCCCGGGACAGGCCGTGCCCGCTGCCCTTCAGACACCGGAGGCCTCCGCTGTGGCTGCCCACTGGCCTGGCCAGGCTCAGGCCTTGGAGCCGTGGCGAACCTCTCTACCCCACCCCACTTAGGTGACTGATGGCGGCGGTGGCTTCTCCCAGCCCGTACCCCAGCCTGGACCCCGCTGGCCACTGGGTCTCCCTGCCCAAGTGTGCTGCGCCGCCACGAAGCCCCAGCTGAGCTGCCCGGATGCAACGCCTTAGGGTGGCGACGGGAGTGGCGGCCAGGAAACATGGGGGCCGCTGGAATGCTGCACGGCTGAGGCCGTTTAGGTCATGGAGGGCCTGGGAAGGCGGCCTGAGGACGCAGGCTGGCCCGGCCGCATCTTTAGGCCACGGAGTCGTGCAGACCCGGGTCCCCAGTGACCGCTCTGTCCCCATTGGGCGAGACCTACCTAGTCCCGACCACGACGGACAAAGGCCTTAACAGGCGTGGGAGGTGAGCAAAGTTCCGAACGACTGCGGTGGAACGGGGTTAGTCTTCATTCTACCAGAGCCTGGTGTCGGAAGAGAGAAACGGTAGAATGACAGGCCACGTTTGGCCCGTTGGAAATGCCCACCACCCTCTGGGAAGATTTACTGGCCGTTTATGGAAGGCCTGCGTATATCATATGAAAAAACTCCACCCCAACCTTTTAATAGAAAACATTTCTCACATCTAGCCCTTCTAGATGTAAAGAGGTTGCCAACTTATGATAAAGTCAGAAAACCACACATCTTGTAAATTCTCATTTGTTTAAAAGAAATCATAGAAAACACACGTCTTCTGGAGATGACTTTTGGAAATGGGGTTGTTAGATGGCGATACGTCCACGTTTGTTCAGTGGGTTAGATGACATGGAGCTGGAAGACCTGAGAAGGAGAAGGAGGTTCTATGCCAGACTGGTCATATTTAGAAGACATTTTCATATTCTAGCCATTGTTTTGTGTGCATTTTATTCTTCACTACTGTATATATAGTTGACAATGCTAAACTTTTTTGAAACGTCTGTTTTTAGATGTTCTGAAGTGCCTGATGTTAAAATTAGAGGTGGTAAAATCACATTTTGTTTTCTGGGGGGAATGGCCAAATCACCTGTTGAGTAATACTCACTGTGTGTGCAGTGGTTCAGGGGAGGAGGGAGGAAGGGGAAGTGCAGAGAGTTCTATGCCACCCTGCTTACAGCAAGGCAAGATGAATTATTATATCTCTGCATTTTGTTTTACTTACCTGTGCATATAGTGTACATAAAGGACAAATGAGTCCTACCTTTAACAACATGTAGTCTTTCTAGAGGTTGCCAGTGTATGACAGAAGTTGAGTTAGTAACCTAATGTTTTGTGCATTTTGTTTTCCAAGTCTAGGAAAGATTGTCTTCTGAAAATTTAAGCATTCTTGCCCACTGGGTTGATGGAGATGGGAAGGGTTATAGGCCAGAATGTTCACATTTGGAAGGCTCTTTCAAATTATAACTGTTGTTACATGTTTGCAGTTTATTCAAGACTGCTGTGTACATAGTGGACAAATTAACTCCTTACTTGAAACATCTAGTCTATCTAGGTGTTTAGAAGTGCCTGATGTATGTTAAATGTAGAGGTAGTAAAATACCACTTTGTAAATATCTTTTTACTAAAATTCATAGGAAATACATTTGGTATTGAATTGTGAAGCCACCTTTGTGAGCAGTATAGTACTGTCTATACTTGTTCAATGGTTTAGAGGAGGTGGGAGGGAAGAAATTGCAAACAGTAATGTTCTAGTGTGTTCACACTTGGACATTTCAGACACTATTTTTCTGTAGGTTTTGTGCATTTTCTTTTGCTCTCTATATAGTGTATATAATGGACAATGAGTCCTAATTTTTCAACATCTAGTCTCTGGATGTTGAAGAGGTTGCCAGTGTATGGCAAAGTATTTAGTAAAATCAGCATATTTTGTACCCTTTTTGATAAAATTCATAGAAAACTTGTCTTCGGTAAATGACTTTTGCATTGGAATTTGTTCAATCATCTCTAAGCACACGTGCCTGTTCTTGTCCACTGGATTGAAGGCAGAGAAGAAAGAGGAGGATTCAAGGCCAAAATGGTCATATTTAGAAGATACCTCAGATGATAACCATTGTTATGTGTGTGCAATTTTAGTTAACACTGCTGTGTACGTGGTAGACAAGTTATATGAAATATCCAGTCTTTCTAGATATTTGGAAGTGCTTGGTGTATTTAAAAGTAGTAGTAGAATAACACTTTTTGTAAGTAGCTTTTAAAAAGTGATGGGAAATGCTGTTGGGAAGTGGAATTGTGGAACCACCTGGCAGGTGGGAGAGAAGAAGTTGCAAAACGTGTTTTGCCATTGTTTATTAGAAAATTTCAGCTTAATCCATTGTCTATATGTTACATGCATTTCATTTAACTTTGCTATACTGTATATATTATGTATATACTGGACAAATGAGTCCCAATTTTATAATATCTAGTCTCTAGATATTAAAGAGGTTGCCAATGTATGACAGAAGTAGAGTTAGTAAACTAACACATCCTGTACACTGTTAAAATTCATAGAAAGCCTGTCTTCTGAGAAAGACTTTCGGAAATGAAGTAACATCAGCTCTAAGTGACACATGTGCCTGTATCCACGAGGTTGGTGGTGGTGAAGATTTGGAAGGAATGAAGAGTTCTAGACCAGAATGTTCCTATTTAGAAGACACTTTCAGATATAGCCATTGTTACATGTGTGTAGTTTATTCAACACTACTGTGTATATAGTGGACAAACTTGTCCTAATTTGAAAATCTGGTCTTTCTAGATATTTAGAAGTGCCCAAAATATGTTAAAAGTAGAGGTAGTAAATAACAAACACATTTCGTAGCTGTCTTTTTGATATATCATCTTTTGGAAGTTGATCAATTCTCTGAGCAGTACATTATGATGTCTGTGCAGGTTCAGGAAGAAGGAGGAGCATAAAGGGCTTTCCACCAGTATGTTTATGATGAGGCACATTGATGTGCCTAAAATGCAAAAAAAAAAAAAGCCTGACTCCACCAAGTATGGACTGAAAAGCCAACAAGTGCTGGGCATGGTGGCTAACACCTGTAATTCCAGCACTTTGGTAGGGTGAGGAGGGTGGATCACATGAGATCAGGAGTTCGAGTCCAGCCTGGCCAACATGTCAAAACCCCGTCTCTAAAAACAATGCAAAAAATTAGCCGACCATGATGCTGCACATCTGTGATCCCAGCTACTCGGAGACTGAGGCACATGAATGGCAGAACCCAGGGGGAAGAGGCGGAAGTGAGCCAAGATCACACCACTGCACTCCAGCCTGGGCAACAGAGTGAGACACTGTCTTAAAAAAAAAAAAAAGTGTATATATATATATATATACACATTTTTATATATACATTATATATATATACACATTATATATATATATACACACTATATATATATATATATATATATATAGTGTGTACAACAAAATACATATGGAGAAAGAACATGTAATTGTATCATTATAAAAGACTATAAATGCATTTTTCTTAACTAATTTTTTTGAGAATTGCATAAAAATATATGTATATGATATATAGTTGGTCGTGTAGCATAGAAGTTTAATATATGTATTTTGACAATAATACGAAGAAGGTACATGATAATAATGCTAATAAAATGATTATAGTTGCTAAAGTAATCATAATGTGTTGTTGCGTTTGTAATATTAATAGATGTAATATATATACCACAAAAATGGGAAAGTCATATAGGAGTAACATCTATATTTCACTGGACTTAAGCTAACACAAATCTGAAGCTCATTCTGATCAGATGTGTATGGCAAACCCTACAGAAACCATTTTTAAACACTCAAAATATACAGCAAAAGTTAATGATAATGTTGGCCAGACATAGTCGTTCATGCCAATAATCCCAGCACTTTGAGAGGCCAAGGCAGGGACATCACTTGAGCCCAGGATTTTGGGGCTGCAGTGAGCTATGATTGTGGCACTGCATTCCAGCCTAGGTGACAGAGATAATCTGTCTCTAAAAAAGAAAAATAAAATGCTATTTAACATATTAGAAACTACTCATTTAATGCAAACGAAATCAGTAAATATAAAGTTGGGCATCTTTTCAAATACCCCATTTACAATGGTCTCAGCATAATTGGGGTGGCCCCCATTTCCCAAAGCTGAGGACTGGGTCTTCCTGCAACTCTGCAGGCCCAGATGACACAGCAGTGAACAACCACACCGTAGGACTGCCTCTGCCTTCTGCATCAATTCCAAACCCCATTCCTACGGACCCTGGGCCAGAACCTAAACCAAAGCTGCAGCACACTGGTGCAACACTGATTGCCCCAGATGAGTACTGAGCACAGACAGCCTGGTGACTCTAGAGCAGACTCCTGATAATGCAATGGACTATCAGGCACTGATAGTCCTGATAACCAATGGCTAGTATGAACCGCTAGACAGAATCCTGTCTCCAGGTTAACAGGCCGAGAATTGACAAACCCAAGCTGTAGGCGCCTTGGCCAATAGGAAACACAGCCTGTTACTAAGCAGAAACTGGACTCTAAGCCCTTAAAAAGTGACACAAATATTTTCTGCTAGCCAAATTTAAATTTTGTTTGCCTTCCAGAGCAACAAGGTACACTCACGTGTGACCCAGATGGGCACTTTAATTTTAAATCCATATCCCAATCCCCACCAGGCTTTCAGTGTTCCTTACCTTCACCCACACTCTTGAATTTTTTTTTTTTTTCCCACACACTCTTGATTTTGATTTTACCTCTGCCTCAGGCTACCACCATTCAGGTGTTTAAGAACCCTGAGAAGGAGAATCAAAGCCCTCGCAGGCGTACCCATGTATCAAAACCAGTTCACAGACTGGTACAGATGGATGTCAGTGGTCTACGGGATTGGCACCTGGACTCTGGTGACCTCAATGTTTTAGTTCAGCTGAAAAATGGCGAGGCCATCAGGTGATAAGGTAGAGCAAAAGGATGTCTCAACAAGTGAAGGACCCAGTGAACTATCTGAACTCCCAAAGGGAGTAATCATTGTCACATATAAAGATTTTGTTCCAATTACTGAAAAGATCCTCAACTACTGGAAATCATGGACTAGTGGCCCTGGTGCAGAACCACTACTGGCTGCTGCATTCTGAAAACCAGGCCTTCGTTCAACATTTAAATTTGAAAGATGCCTTGATTCCCATTTTGCACTTAAGAAAAGTGTATGTATTTAATTTTGCTATAAAACATAATCAATAATAATATGCAATAAATATTTTCTTGAATGAAAAAAAAGAACCCTGACACCTCAGTGGACATGCCAAGGCTTTGTCACTGCAAATGAGGAGAGCAAGCATTTGAGTACAAATGATTCCAGGATGCACTGGTAGGGAAGTGGGAAGTGAGACAAGAGAAGGAAGCCTATGCAGGATGTATTCATAAGCAGATTCCCACTGTGAGCAACTATGTTTAATACTACTGGGGACCACTAAAAGATGATGGCATGGAAACCATTATCCCACTCAAAGAGTAACTTTCAAATATCCAGTTGTGTAACTTCTCTGGTCGGCAGGGAAGCTGGGTATGCACGCTCAAATTCCCATATAGGGGCATTAACTCCATAGCACTTCAAGCAGAGAGAAAGCCTCAAGCAGGTGCTTACTGCAGGATTCCTGTTAGTGGCACATGCTAGAGAATGATGAGTGCCCAGGGAATATGGATGAGGCCCTGACACCTTTTGCTACATACCTGCTGGTCCCCGATTGGTTTCTCTCCCCTTTAACTCTAAGTAGTTCAGCTTATTTTGCCACTTCTCACAGTCCTTGATGCAGATTTTGTCTTTGCTCCACCCAGAAGAACTAATATCTTTCTAATGGCCTATTCATTCTAAAATGGAACCACTTTATTGGTTGTAATTAACAATAAAATAACTGTTAGTTCCTTTGTGGGTTTTATACCTAAAAAGTTTTCTGTACACAATCAAAACACTTATTGACAAGATTCAAATACAAAGTTATATTTATTTTCAACAATGAAAACAACACAACAACGTGGAGTCAATCCACTATTTAACACAATGTTTAGCACAAACTATACTCAATAAATAGAAACACATTAACCAGGTAAGATTATTCTTAAGACTCTCTAGGGTTGTGTGCGTGTTTTAAAGAAAACTGAGTGGTAGGTCAAGAAAGACATCCTACAGACTTGACTGAGAAGGGCTCCATGAAAAGAACAGCCAAGGAGCAGGGTCCCCAAATACTAAGTCAGCAAAATGAATACAGCATTTTCAAAGCAGTAGGGAAATCAGAGCTCACTGGGGTAAATGACAAGGGTTTGGGGATAATCCGTGTTCAAGGCCTCATAATTAAATCTTCCCATATTTCTAGATTCCCATATTTCTAGAATCTATCCCAATCTAAAGGAGCTTCTGCCAAAGGACAGGAGATTACTTATGCTGCCTGAAATGGCCAATGCCTCCTAAATTTCCTTTGACTTTGACACTAACAAAGCAAGGGTTCCACTCCAGCAAAGGATTACTACTATGTAGACCAACTCCTCTCTGGTTTAGCTTTTCCTTTCGTAAACACATTGATACTTGTTCAAGGAAAACTGCAAATACATCCAATTTTTCTTTTTATCCCCATCTACAACTGTGCTTGGCTACAAAGTCTATAACTCACAGATCAACAGCAGCAATGGTCAGAAAATAAGTGCCAGTTCCAATGCAAGAACTCTCTAAAGTTGGTCACAATTTTTTTAACCACCTCATCTGCCATGACTTTTTTCTTTTCTGATTATCATGCCAATTATTTCTTTCGAAATTCAATCCTCCGAGCTACATTCTGAGCACCAAATTTTTTGACCAATGCCTCTCTGGTATCCTCATCATCTTTTTGCAAATCTATATCATCTTGTCGGGACCAAATGGGGTATCCATCAGCTCTCTGACCAGATGCTAAGAAGGCAGAAGTAGCCTCCAGCTCACCACTATTTTTTAGGAAGGCCTGTGTAACTGTTGATAGATCCAAGTTAAACTTCTCCATCAACTGCCGAATGATCTTAATGGCAGTTCCCACCTCTGGTTGAGAAACTTTTTCTTCTTCTTCTTCTTCTTCCTCATCAGGCTGTGTTTCTGAGTCTTCCTCAGGTGTGGGTGGATCATCATCACACATAGTTATATGTATTTCAAAATCAGGAGGGCTCTCATCCACCTAGACAGAATGATGAATAAAACCAGTTTCTAATTACCAAGTCTTGAATTCTTACAATATCTGGTCTCTTCCAACTATCACCCCCTTGCCCTCCGCATTCCAATCCCACTGGGCTTCTTTCGGTTCCTCTTAATATGCTATGTTCCTTCTTACATTTATTCATGTCAGGTGTCTGTCTGTGTGTGTGTGTGTGTGTGTATGTGGGGGGGAAGTAGGGGGAGTATATGTGTATATATGTGTGAAATTAACTATAGTATTCCAACAGAATATAAGAAGCTACACTGAATATGAAAAATACATGTATATATAAAGAGATGCACACATATACACAAAATATATGTGCACACATGTTCATTAGATTTGTTAAATGTTTGACCTCACTCTCAAGACTGTAAGCTCCTAAGAGCAGGAACTGCATGTTTTGCTCATCACCACATCTCCAATACCTACCAATGCCTATACATAATAAGTACTCAAAAAGCACTGCTGTATGAATATATTAGGGCTTCCAAACTATACTACATTTAGACAGATTACAAAGCATGGTATATGAGAAGAGGCCTAGGTAGGTCATGTTTGAGAGCCGGGTGTTTGAAGTTTATGGAAAATGAACCAAATATCAAATAATAAAACAAAGCACAGACTACAAAAGGCAACAATCCATAAATCCTGCCAATTTCTGTGCATTCCTCACTCATCAATTACAGAAACTTTAAATTATTTCCCTCGTTTAGACTGAAGTCTAACCATTTTTCTTCGCGTTGATATGAAAATTTAATTCACAAGACCATTTATCCTGGAAAAATATATACATATAATTTGGACATTTAAAAAACTTATCATTATTTCACGGCTCCTGTCTTTCTCTATAGCTATTATTAAATACAGGATTACAACAGAGTAATAGAAGCTAGACTGAATATGGAAAGAACTAAAACATTTCAAAAAAGCTCAAAGTACACAAAAAGCTAAATTTGCTTGATAAAAAAATTACTATAATTAGCTGAGTGTGGTGACACATGCTGATAAACCCAGCTACCCAGGAGGCTGAGGCAGGAGAATCACTGGAACCCAGGAAGTTCCAGCCTGGGCGACAGAGCAAGACTCCGTTTCAAAAAAAAAGAAAAAACAATTACTGTAAACTTTTTGAAAAACATATTGAGATCAAAGAACTCAAAGTGGGATGCTTTATACTGTTTATATAACTGTCCCTATTCCACCCAATTATTCTTCCTTTCCCCCTTCAACTTGTCCTGCCAAAAACTAAAAGCTTGTGAAGCAAAAGCTTCGGGGCAACATGTCTGAAGCCCAGATCAGTCTCATTCTCCATATTCCCTTTCCATCTTGACCTCCTCTCTCCTTTCCTGGGCCCCGGGCAGATGAAAAAGGTAGATATGACAACGAGTTTCAAAGAAGAATGAAGGTAGGGACAAAAATAATGAGTAAATCTAGTTAACGTACCACAACTTCCTCAAACTCCTGGGTGGCTTCTATAAGCATCTTTTTGACTGCATCTTCGTTATCCTGCAATTCTTCCTTCCCATATTCTTCTTCAGGCAAATCTGGAGTTCTCTTATTCTGTGGCTCTATTAAAGAGAAGAACAGCACGGATTAGCAGTAGCCTGTTTCACATAAATCAAAATATATTGGCTGCTGGATGAGCTCTGCACCAGAAAGGGGCCTGTACTTTTTTTTCTATCAGAAGACATCTGTTTTTGATTCAGAAGGGTAAGAAAAGCCTACGACATGCTCATTCATTCATTGCTATGCTTGCTTCTGAAAAGATGTACCATCCAAATGATGATTTTTCTTAGACTCTCACATACAAAAATGCTCTTCAAGTTTAATTCATTTTTTGCTTTGTATTTACAGACTTTGCAAATTAATAAAAATGTGTCATAAATTGGGTTCCTTAGGAAGCGAATTCTGAGATGGAGATTAACATTTAAATAATTAGGGAGTGATTTTGGGAAAACCTCTGTGGAAGAGAAGGAAAGCAGGAGTGGACAGAGAGAGAAGCTGATTTATGAAAGAGTGACAACAAGGCCTCAGCCAAAACCATGGGCAACTCTGGAGCTAGGAAGTCCCTTTAGAGCTGACCAAGAAGCAGAGACTTTTAACTCTGTAAATATCAGTCACTGGATGGTGGCAGCCCTAAGAAGACAGGACTTTGGGCAAGGCAGCTCCCCCAAAAGCCAAAGGCACATCTGGGTCATGTACCACAATCCACCATATACCATCTACAAAAAGGAGGGTCTCCTAACTTTAAACATCCTCTTCCTTCCCAATTACATTTTATTCTCTGAAGATTCAACTCTGCTCCTTTGCTACTTACTAAAATATACTATAAAGGGGCAGCAAGAGGGACTTTTTTAAGATGGAATTGTTCTAAATCCTGATTTGAATGGTGATTACAAAAATGTACATATGTTAAAACACATATAACTGGAAAAGTGTACAGCAGTCCCTCAAAAAAAATTCAATATAATTTCATGATGACAATCGACAGGAAAAAAAAATTAAACAAAAAATTATGATATAATGCAGCAATTGCATTTCTAGGAATACACCTAAAATAATGGAAAGCAGGGTCTCAAACAAATACTAGTAATACCCATGTTCACAGCAGCATTATTCAAAATAGACAAAAGATGGAAACAAGATACATACAATGGAATATTATTCACCCTTAAAAAGGAATGAAATTCTGACACATGCTACAATATGGATGAGCTCGGAAGACATTATGCAAAGTAAAATAAGCCAGACACAAAAAGGCAAGTATTACATGATTCTACTTATATGAGGTATCTAGAAAGATTGAATTCATAGAAACAGAAAACATGTTGGTGGTTTCCAGGGGCTAAGGAGAGGGAGAAATAGGAGTTTGTGTTTAACAGGCATGTTTCTGACCTCTAGAAGCAGAAAATAATAAAAGGCATGGAGTTTCAGTTTGGGAAAATGAGTAAGTTCTAGATATGAATGGTGGTGATATTTGTCCAACAATGTGAATGCACTGAATAACACCACTGAATAGAACACTTAAAAAAAACTTGA